AGTCAGGGGCAGAAGACACTTGTGTAAAAGAGTCAGGGGCAGAAGACACTTGTAAAAGAGTCAGGGGCAGAAGACACTTGTGTAAAAGAGTCAGGGGGCAGAAGACACTTGTGTAAAAGAGTCAGGGGCAGAAGACACTTGTGTAAAAGAGTCAGGGGCAGAAGACACTTGTGTAAAAGAGTCAGGGGCAGAAGACACTTGTGTAAAAGAGTCAGGGCAGAAGACACTTGTGTAAAAGAGTCAGGGGCAGAAGACACTTGTGTAAAAGAGTCAGGGGCAGAAGACACTTGTGTAAAAGAGTCAGGGGCAGAAGACACTTGTGTAAAAGAGTCAGGGGCAGAAGACACTTGTGTAAAAGAGTCAAAAGACACTGTCAAGGGTCAGGGAAGACACTTGTGTAAAAGAGTCAGGGGCAGAAGACACTTGTGTAAAAGAGTCAGGGGCAGAAGACACTTGTGTAAAAGAGTCAGGGGCAGAAGACACTTGTGTAAAAGAGTCAGGGGCAGAAGACACTTGTGTAAAAGAGCAGGGCAGAAGACACTTGTGTAAAAGAGTCAGGGGCAGAAGACACTTGTGTAAAAGAGTCAGGGGCAGAAGACACTTGTGTAAAAGAGTCAGGGGCAGAAGACACTTGTGTAAAAGAGTCAGGGGCAGAAGACACTTGTGTAAAAGAGTCAGGGGCAGAAGACACTTGTGTAAAAGAGTCAGGGGCAGAAGACACTTGTGTAAAAGAGTCAGGGGCAGAAGACACTTGTGTAAAAGAGTCAGGGGCAGAAAGACACTTGTGTAAAAGAGTCAGGGGCAGAAGACACTTGTGTAAAAGAGTCAGGGGCAGAAGACACTTGTGTAAAAGAGTCAGGGGCAGAAGACACTTGTGTGTAAAAGAGTCAGGGGCAGAAGACACTTGTGTAAAAGAGTCAGGGGCAGAAGACACTTGTGTAAAAGAGTCAGGGGCAGAAGACACTTGTGTAAAAGAGTCAGGGGCAGAAGACACTTGTGTAAAAGAGTCAGGGGCAGAAGACACTTGTGTAAAAGAGTCAGGGGCAGAAGACACTTGTGTAAAAGAGTCAGGGGCAGAAGACACTTGTGTAAAAGAGTCAGGGGCAGAAGACACTTGTGTAAAAGAGTCAGGGGCAGAAGACACTTGTGTAAAAGAGTCAGGGGCAGAAGACACTTGTGTAAAAGAGTCAGGGGCAGAAGACACTTGTGTAAAAGAGTCAGGGGCAGAAGACACTTGTGTAAAAGAGTCAGGGGCAGAAGACACTTGTGTAAAAGAGTCAGGGGCAGAAGACACTTGTGTAAAAGAGTCAGGGGCAGAAGACACTTGTGTAAAGAGTCAGGGCAGAAGACACTTGTGTAAAAGAGTCAGGGGCAGAAGACACTTGTGTAAAAGAGTCAGGGGCAGAAGACACTTGTGTAAAAGAGTCAGGGGCAGAAGACACTTGTGTAAAGAGTCACAGAAGACACTTGTGTAAAAGAGTCAGGGGCAGAAGACACTTGTGTAAAAGAGTCAGGGGCAGAAGACACTTGTGTAAAAGAGTCAGGGGCAGAAGACACTTGTGTAAAAAGAGTTAAAGATCAGGGGCAGAAGACACTTGTGTAAAAGAGTCAGGGGCAGAAGACACTTGTGTAAAAGAGTCAGGGGCAGAAGACACTTGTGTAAAAGAGTCAGGGGCAGAAGACACTTGTGTAAAAGAGTCAGGGGCAGAAGACACTTGTGTAAAAGAGTCAGGGGCAGAAGACACTTGTGTAAAAGAGTCAGGGGCAGAAGACACTGTGTAAAAGAGTCAGGGGCAGAAGACACTTGTGTAAAAGAGTCAGGGCAGAAGACACTTGTGTAAAAGAGTCAGGGGCAGAAGACACTTGTGTAAAAGAGTCAGGGGCAGAAGACACTTGTGTAAAAGAGTCAGGGGCAGAAGACACTTGTGTAAAAGAGTCAGGGGCAGAAGACACTTGTGTAAAAGAGTCAGGGGCAGAAGACACTTGTGTAAAAGAGTCAGGGGCAGAAGACACTTGTGTAAAAGAGTCAGGGGCAGAAGACACTTGTGTAAAAGAGTCAGGGGCAGAAGACACTTGTGTAAAAGAGTCAGGGGCAGAAGACACTTGTGTAAAAGTCAGGGGCAGAAGACACTTGTGTAAAAGAGTCAGGGGCAGAAGACACTTGTGTAAAAGAGTCAGGGGCAGAAGACACTTGTGTAAAAGAGTCAGGGGCAGAAGACACTTGTGTAAAAGAGTCAGGGGCAGAAGACACTTGTGTAAAAGAGTCAGGGGCAGAAGACACTTGTGTAAAAGAGTCAGGGGCAGAAGACACTTGTGTAAAAGAGTCAGGGGCAGAAGACACTTGTGTAAAAGAGTCAGGGGCAGAAGACACTTGTGTAAAAGAGTCAGGGGCAGAAGACACTTGTGTAAAAGAGTCAGGGGCAGAAGACACTTGTGTAAAAGAGTCAGGGGCAGAAGACACTTGTGTAAAAGAGTCAGGGGCAGAAGACACTTGTGTAAAAGAGTCAGGGGCAGAAGACACTTGTGTAAAAGAGTCAGAGGGGCAGAAGACACTTGTGTAAAAGAGTCAGGGGCAGAAGACACTTGTGTAAAAGAGTCAGGGGCAGAAGACACTTGTGTAAAAGAGTCAGGGGCAGAAGACACTTGTGTAAAAGAGTCAGGGGCAGAAGACACTTGTGTAAAAGAGTCAGGGGCAGAAGACACTTGTGTAAAAGAGTCAGGGGCAGAAGACACTTGTGTAAAAGAGTCAGGGGCAGAAGACACTTGTGTAAAAGAGTCAGGGGCAGAAGACACTTGTGTAAAAGAGTCAGGGGGCAGAAAGACACTTGTGTAAAAGAGTCAGGGGCAGAAGACACTTGTGTAAAAGAGTCAGGGGCAGAAGACACTTGTGTAAAAGAGTCAGGGGCAGAAGACACTTGTGTAAAAGAGTCAGGGGCAGAAGACACTTGTGTAAAAGAGTCAGGGGCAGAAGACACTTGTGTAAAAGAGTCAGGGGCAGAAGACACTTGTGTAAAAGAGTCAGGGGCAGAAGACACTTGTGTAAAAGAGTCAGGGGCAGAAGACACTTGTGTAAAAGAGTCAGGGGCAGAAGACACTTGTGTAAAAGAGTCAGGGGCAGAAGACACTTGTGTAAAAGAGTCAGGGGCAGAAGACACTTGTGTAAAAGAGTCAGGGGCAGAAGACACTTGTGTAAAAGAGTCAGGGCAGAAGACACTTGTGTAAAAGAGTCAGGGCAGAAGACACTTGTGTAAAAGAGTCAGGGGCAGAAGACACTTGTGTAAAAGAGTCAGGGGCAGAAGACACTTGTGTAAAAGAGTCAAAGAAGACACTTGTGTAAAAGAGTCAGGGGCAGAAGACACTTGTGTAAAAGAGTCAGGGGCAGAAGACACTTGTGTAAAAGAGTCAGGGGCAGAAGACACTTGTGTAAAAGAGTCAGGGGCAGAAGACACTTGTGTAAAAGAGTCAGGGGCAGAAGACACTTGTGTAAAAGAGTCAGGGGCAGAAGACACTTGTGTAAAAGAGTCAGGGGCAGAAGACACTTGTGTAAAAGAGTCAGGGGCAGAAGACACTTGTGTAAAAGAGTCAGGGCAGAAGACACTTGTGTAAAAGAGTCAGGGCAGAAGACACTTGTGTAAAAGAGTCAAGGGCAGAAGACACTTGTGTAAAAGAGTCAGGGGCAGAAGACACTTGTGTAAAAGAGTCAGGGGCAGAAGACACTTGTGTAAAAGAGTCAGGGGCAGAAGACACTTGTGTAAAAGAGTCAGGGGCAGAAGACACTTGTGTAAAAGAGTCAGGGCAGAAGACACTTGTGTAAAAGAGTCAGGGGCAGAAGACACTTGCGTTAAAGAGTCAAGGGCAGAAGACACTTGTGTAAAAGAGTCAAGGGCAGAAGACACTTGTGTAAAAGAGTCAGGGGCAGAAGACACTTGTTTAAAAGAGTCAGGGGCAGAAGACACTTGTGTAAAAGAGTCAAGGGCAGAAGACACTTGTGTAAAAGAGTCAGGGGCAGAAGACACTTGTGTAAAAGAGTCAGGGGCAGAAGACAGTTGTGTAAAAGAGTCAGGGGCAGAAGACACTTGTGTAAAAGAGTCAGGGGCAGAAGACACTTGTGTAAAAGAGTCAGGGGCAGAAGACACTTGTGTAAAAGAGTCAGGGGCAGAAGACACTTGTGTAAAAGAGTCAGGGGCAGAAGACACTTGTGTAAAAGAGTCAGGGGCAGAAGACACTTGTGTAAAAGAGTCAGGGGCAGAAGATACTTGTTTAAAAGAGTCAGGGGCAGAAGACACTTGTGTAAAAGAGTCAAGGGCAGAAGACACTTGTGTAAAAGAGTCAGGGGCAGAAGACACTTGTGTAAAAGAGTCAGGGGCAGAAGACACTTAAAGAGTCAGGGGCAGAAGACACTTAAAGAGTCAGGGGCAGAAGACACTTGTGTAAAACAGTCAGGGGCAGAAGACACTTGTGTAAAAGAGTCAGGGGCAGAAGACACTTGTGTAAAAGAGTCAGGGGCAGAAGACACTTGTGTAAAAGAGTCAGGGGCAGAAGACACTTGTGTAAAAGAGTCAGGGGCAGAAGACACTTGTGTAAAAGAGTCAGGGGCAGAAGACACTTAAAGAGTCAGGGGCAGAAGACACTTGTGTAAAACAGTCAGGGGCAGAAGACACTTGTGTAAAAGAGTCAGGGGCAGAACTGTAATGCAATCTAAAAACGAATGCAGTTATATAAAAAAATGTAATTATTTCTATTACAGCTGAGGAGGTTATACAGCTGTATGTACTGTATGCCTAAACAAAATTACCCCTGGACTTTAACAATAAAACTACCCTCTTCCACATCAACTAAAAATGCACAATTTAGCTTGTTTTAATTTCACAGAACAGATTATTATTATTGAACCTATTATTGCAGTTTGACTTAAATCATAGGCAGCTTCTTCTAATGAGCTCTTCCCTGCTTCTCTTGTTTGCTTTTGGACAAGGACAGAAATAACTTGGCCGACTCACAGTACTCGATTCCCCTGAGCAGATCCTGGAAGTAAAACCGAGCCTGGTCCTCGCTCAGTGGTTTATCTGTTGGAACCTCAATCACAGCCCTGCATTAAAATGAGATGGAAAAACGCCCAATTAATGATCACAACTAATACGTTTATTCCCAACCAAACATTAAACGCTGACTCACCCCTGTTTGACAAGCTCGAAGACTGACAAACAAAACCAGAAAAGAACAGTTAGATTTTCATTTTCATTCGAAGTGATCCACATTAATTGCGTTAAATGATACTGGAATTTGATTAAATTAATGTGATATGTTTATTGTGATTATATTTAAATGTATTGACGACTGGTATTAACAGATTACTGCCCCCCATAACATACCCATGTAGAGATGGTCCTCACTGGGATCATCCAAAACCTAAAGACAAATAATGATAAATGTACTGCTGCAGAACATAATGGTTTTGATTTTGTTGGAAAAAATACCTCCACAAGTTTTACAACGTTAGGATGATCCAGCTTTTTTAAGATGGCAATCTCTTGATAGACCCTCTCAAGAGGTCCCTTGGGCTGGGGTGGGCCCTCAGGTTCTGCTTTAGCTCCTCGAGGAGGGGGTCTCCCTGATAGACAGATAAAAGCATAACATAACAGGAGAAATTCAAATGAAAGGATGTTTCCTGTTTACATGATGACTTACGTGGGAAACCTGCCTGTCTCAGCAGCCTCCTTTTGGACAGCACCTTCATCGCCTACAGCAGTCAGGGGATTTGATCACAGGTCAATTACACCAGCAGAGAATGATATCCAGAGAGAAACATCTACCATAACAGCATAGCCAAATTCATCAGAGCAAAGCAGAGTCGATCTTGGCAGTGCAGCCACTCACTGCTGTGTATGTAGCCTTCAATGTCAAACAAGGCTTCAAGGCTTGTATACGAAGAAAGAACTAACATCACAAGTCAAACTCTATCCACAAACAGTTGGAAGGACACAAAACAGACATTATATTCTCAGATAAGCCAAATCAGAAGCATTCTATTGCAAAATTACACAATAGAATGTATCTATGAGGCTTTAGCTGCATTATTTTTCTTGGTGCATGATTTTATTTGACTGGGTTTGTGGATATTAATGAAAGAAAAGGCACTAGATTAACAGGCCAGATTAGGGGCTAGTTTCCATCTGTAATCCCAAGGAGCCTCTAAACAAATCAACCGTATCAACACATGCTGCCTCCAGTTAAAGCGGGTGAGTCCCCTGAGAGACATAGACCCACCAGTCTATGGACTCAGGATCTTGCCCGTCTGCTCCCAGTACGAGAGTTTGCAAAGGAGCAGTGGCTCTTCTACAAGATACTGTGACTGGGCTCCCTCTTCAGCTCAACAGTCTGATACTTTGACCGCACCACTGCACACACGGCACCAATCTATTCATCTGTCACGCTCCCTCCTTCCCGCCTAACCAAGATGCTTATGTATTTTGGGGTATGTGACGAGTGCAAAAAACAGCACCACATTAACATGCACTTACATAATATGTGTTGTCATCTTCGTTGTACGCCAGTTTGACGACACCATAGGAGCCCTGCAGACGAAACAAAGTGAGATCATAGCAGCTGTTTGTTTTTCATGTGACGATGTGACACCCTCGCTGAAGAAAATGTTTTCACTTAACACTACATTCAAAACATGCATGCGTGACTGGTAAGGGGAGTGAGTGGGCTGACAACCGTGTTTTCTCAAAAGCTACCAGCTGCTTCACAAAAAAAAACACAGAACATCAAATCCTTGCTTGCTTTCAGGCTAATTAGAACTGGATTTGGCATATGCTATCAAGCTTGACCCACACAGTGCAAATTCGGTGCGAAAGAAAAACAAGACCCAATAAAAAGTCCATGAGCTCGAAAACATGCTCAACATTAACAGAGGAGAGAACATTGGTCCCTGCTGCTGGAGGAGATTGAAGGAACAGGGGAAAGGGACAAGATGATGCACAGGTTTCACTACCAGTGTCTTTCCCCAACCCAGACACAGACACTAACCAATCTACTACAGAAAGATGGATTCTGGGTACGATTGCACCTCCAGACCTTTCTGTGTGGAGTTTACATGTTCTCCTGTGTCTAAATAGGGGTCGTCCAGGTTCTCCGGTTTCGTATCTCATAAAAAAAAAAAAAAATGCAAAGTCAAACACAAGGTTTAAGACGCACGTATAGATGTCAAGTCAGACCACAATAAGCTTTTGCATATTTCTGAGTGAGGGGGGCATACTTTCCTTTTCACTTTATATCCTGATCTAAGGATAAATCAATCAATATTTATTACAAACAATACAAAAATATATATGTATGGTATTGAAAGCCAAAGAGACAAGGTTGTGTCTTAAGCAGGGATTTAAAGGACTCGAGTGATTGGGAAAAGGTAAAGAGTTCCACAGCTGTAGTCCTAACAGAAAAGGCCCCATCTGCCCTTGTCATCTGCAGAGGAAGGACACGGGAAGGAAGGGGGGCTTGGAGGTGGTGAAGTATGTGATTTTAATGCTTTTTAATTACATATGTGTTTTTAATTGTATTTTAATGGTGATGATTTGTGCATTGTGTGGTGTGGACTGTGAGGCGCTTTGTGTTGCCCTGTGCAGGAAAAGCGCCCTATAAATAAAGATTGATTGATTGATTGATTGAAGTAAAAAGGCACTATTCTATTAAGGCTTATAAACAATAATAAGAAAATGAAACCTAAATGAAACAGGGAGACAGTGCAGGGATCAAACAGCGGGAGTGATGTGGTCTCTGCGCTGAGCTGGGTCTGGTCAAAGGCAGCATGGACGGAGTTACAGTACAGTCTTGAGGTGATAAAAGCATGAATGACCTCAATATAAGATTTCAATTTGCAAAGAACTTTTAGAGGAAACTGGTTTTAAGAACTGGAAAACGATGTGACAAAGGCCAAAGAAAAAAGCATGTGAAAACTATATAGATAAGATAAGATATCTTCTATGCGTCCCACAGTGAGAAAATGCCTATGTTGCAGCGCACATGCAGGACAGTAGTGAGAGCTCACAGGGAGCACACAACATATGCGATATAAGTAGCTGCTATGTTTCTTAGTTAGCTGTAAATGCTTCAATATCGATCTTTTGATATATATATGTTTGCTTTTTTGTGCCATCAGGAACCAGGATGCACATGTTAAATGCCAATTGGAATCACAATTTACTTTTGAATGCGCTGGAAAACGGCAGCAAGTCCTAAGTAGCTCTAAAACAGCTTTTGTTTTGTGCTGTACAATTTTCATTTTTCTTGCTTTTTTCTACCTGAGATGTTGGTGCAGTACAGTGTTCATGGTTTTACACTGGTCCAGACCAGAGCAGAGAGGATTCATGGTTTTACACTGGTCCAGACCAGAGCAGAGAGGATTCATGGTCTGAACCAAGCGGATCAGGTGAAAATCCACTGGAGGAATGCTAACTTTTTGAAAAATGCTAATGGAGCATTTAGCATTTTACTTTGGACTAGAGCAGAGAAAATGGTTCGAACCAAGCGGCCACTCCATCTTGTGACCCATCCTGCTCCACCCAGAGGCTACTCCACCTCTGCTGCTGTGACCCATCCTGCTCCACCCAGAGGCTACTCCACCTCTGCTGCTGTGACCCGTCCTGCTCCACCCAGAGGCTACTCCACCTCTGCTGCTGTGACCCATCCTGCTCCACCCAGAGGCTACTCCACCTCTGCTGCTGTGACCCGTCCTGCTCCACCCAGAGGCTACTCCACCTCTGCTGCTGTGACCCATCCTGCTCCACCCAGAGACTACTCCACCTCTGCTGCTGTGACCCGTCCTGCTCCACCCAGAGGCTACTCCATGTCTGCTACTGTGACCTGTACTGCTCCAACCAGAGACTACTCCACCTCTGCTGCTGTGACCCATCCTGCTCCACCCAGAGACTACTCCACCTCTGCTGCTGTGACCCATCCTGCTCCACCCAGAGGCTACTCCACCTCTGCTGCTGTGACCCGTCCTGCTCCACCCAGAGACTACTCCACCTCTGCTGCTGTGACCTGTCCTGCTCCACCCAGAGGCTACTCCATCTCTGCTGCTGTGACCCGTCCTGCTCCACCCAGAGACTACTCCACCTCTGCTGCTGTGACCTGTCCTGCTCCACCCAGAGGCTACTCCATCTCTGCTGCTGTGACCTGTCCTGCTCCACCCAGAGACTACTCCACCTCTGCTGCTGTGACCTGTCCTTGCTCCACCCAGAGACTTCTCCACCTCTGCTGCTGTGACCCGTCCTGCTCCACCCAGAGACTACTCCACCTCTGCTGCTGTGACCCATCCTGCTCCACCCAGAGGCTACTCCACCTCTGCTGCTGTGACCCGTCCTGCTCCACCCAGAGGCTACTCCACCTCTGCTGCTGTGACCCGTCCTGCTCCACCCAGAGGCTACTCCATCTCTGCTGCTGTGACCTGTCCTGCTCCACCCAGAGGCTACTCCACCTCTGCTGCTGTAACCCGTCCTGCTCCACCCAGAGACTACTCCACCTCTGCTGCTGTGACCTGTCCTGCTCCACCCAGAGGCTACTCCACCTCTGCTGCTGTGACCCATCCTGCTCCACCCAGAGACTACTCCACCTCTGCTGCTGTGACCCATCCTGCTCCACCCAGAGACTACTCCACCTCTGCTGCTGTGACCCGTCCTGCTCCACCCAGAGGCTACTCCACCTCTGCTGCTGTGACCTGTCCTGCTCCACCCAGAGGCTACTCCACCTCTGCTGCTGTGACCCGTCCTGCTCCACCCAGAGGCTACTCCACCTCTGCTGCTGTGTACCTGTCCTGCTCCACCCAGAGACTACTCCACCTCTGCTGCTGTAACCCGTCCTGCTCCACCCAGAGACTACTCCACCTCTGCTGCTGTGACCCATCCTGCTCCACCCAGAGACTACTCCACCTCTGCTGCTGTGACCCGTCCTGCTCCACCCAGAGACTACTCCACCTCTGCTGCTGTAACCCGTCCTGCTCCACCCAGAGGCTACTCCACCTCTGCTGCTGTGACCCGTCCTGCTCCACCCAGAGGCTACTCCACCTCTGCTGCTGTGACCCATCCTGCTCCACCCAGAGGCTACTCCACCTCTGCTGCTGTGACCCATCCTGCTCCAACCAGAGACTACTCCACCTCTGCTGCTGTGACCCGTCCTGCTCCACCCAGAGGCTACTCCACCTCTGCTGCTGTGACCCCTCCTGCTCCACCCAGAGACTACTCCACCTCTGCTGCTGTGACCCGTCCTGCTCCACCCAGAGGCTACTCCATCTCTGCTGCTGTGACCTGTCCTGCTCCACCCAGAGGCTACTCCACCTCTGCTGCTGTGACCCGTCCTGCTCAACCCAGAGGCTACTCCACCTCTGCTGCTGTGACCCGTCCTACTGATTATTACTATTGTTAGCTTTTTAGAATGATCCATTTTTTTTTTTGCTACTGGTCACCTGAATTTCTCCTACGGGGATCAATAAAGTATCTATCTATCTATATATCTAATGGAGGTGACAGTGGCTCAGTTGGTAGAGCACTGGCCTTTGTGCCTGAAGGTTGTGGGTTCAATCCCCTCACAATAGTTTCTCAACCTACTCCCACTGAGGTCTGCTGTCAAGGCAATGCCACCAACAGAGCAGCCATCCTCCTACGGACCTACCATCTGCAGGAGAATCAGTGACGGATGGATTCATAATCAATCATATTCAAACAGACTAATTCAGGCAAGCTTATCAGATTCATCTCTGTATGATTTTGGTGCAGACTAGCATTGGTTGCTGATCTGTGCTATTCTTCAACCACTTGAATCAGGTGACAGAGCCAAAAAACACTGAAATGATTCCACAATGAGAATCATGCCCAGAAATACCCGCTCTTTCACATCCTCTCATCTTCTGTAAGCCTTGGAGAGCACTATTTATACCAGCCTTTCATCTGTCTTCCAACCCTCTCATGGCCTCCCGGTTTACTCAGAGTTTAGGGAAACGAGGACAGGCGAGAGAGAGGATATCACAGACAGAACGGCCTTGATTTCGTATGCCGCTCGATAGACATGCAGTAGGCAAAAGGGTGAAGGTAGGATTTGGTGAAAGAGCAATCACTGGTGGCCCTACCTTTCCAATCTCGTCTTTGAGCTTGTACTGGTTGAGCTGAACGCAGTCCTTGAGAGAAAGAGAAGAGTCGGTCAGGCAGTGTTTTACTTTCCACTCGTCACGTTTTTTAAGATGCACCTAATTGTAAGTCGCTTTCTTTTTCTTGGCATCCAATATTATGACTGAGTAAGGCTGATGCTCTGAGTACTGGGTGTAGCTCTGACTATCACCCCCCCACCCAGAAATTGATTAAGGAGAAGAAGATGGATTAAAATACTATTAGGATTTTTTTTAATCCATTCTACAGCGTCTAAGGGCACGGTCCAAGCCCACGGTCCAAGCCCACTTGCCGCAGTCACACAACACTTAAATCCTGGGTATGATCGCAATCTTTAACTGGGCTCCAGGTTGTGCTTGTGACCGCAGCCTAAGACAGGGGTGCCCACACTTTATCAAATCAAGATCTATGTATACAGTGACCAGTATGTGGGGGTGTTAGATTCAGATATCACATCTGGTTTGATTTGAAGGCTATTATGGGTTATAATACCTAAATATCAGTTTAAACTTGCTTGTGTGAAACAATACTACTGTCAGTAGTGTTTATCTTATTAGTTGCATATATTAGTAGCATATAAGTTGTCACTTCAGGAAGTAGCTGCTTAGTGATCAAAATAATTGTCAGAAACCCTCAAACCTCATTTAATAGGCTCTACTTTGACCATAAATGCGCTCGTGGGCACAATCAAAGCGCGATGAGCAGCAGTGACGTTCACTCGATACACATGATTTGTCCGTGTTATCTCTTAGTCAGAGGAGGATGAAAGCGATTGGAACGCACTGGCTCAATGGGGACTGCATTTTGGCGCGCTGTTCCCTGTGTGCACGCTGTTCCATACAGTAGCGCACCGTCTCCGTTCAGACTTTTTATGCTGGTGCAATGAAACGCGTGTGAACGTATACATGTGCGTGAACTTGTTTGTCATGTGAGTTACCCAACCCACCTTTGTGATCAACAGGAAGACTGCGATTGACGTATTGAGCACCCCTGATATAAGCATTAGGGGAAAGGATCTACATGCAAACAATGTTTTATCTATTGATACTTACCTTGATGTCCAAACATGGGCTGCTTACCAGTTTGCTGCTTTTTAAGACAAATGCATAAATCCTAAGTATCATCATCACATGGTTGTGTATATTTGGTATTTTGCTCGTGGACATTTTAGTTTTAGTTTTTATTTTTAAGTATTGATAAAGTTAGTGAAGGATAAGATGAGCTCGTACCTGCAGGTCTGTTATGGAAACACTGTGTGACTCCACAGTGGGCCGGCGCGGTAGCCGTGGTGAAGAGTGTGGAGAGGTTATTGGAGAGTAGGGCAGAGAGGGGTAAATATAGCGACCGTTTAGTCCAGGCGAGCTGCAAGGCGATGTTGTCTGAGAACGCTCCTGCAGAGAAAACTTTCTGTCTGAAAGGTTCAGTCGCCCTCTCTGCTCCGGACTCTCTGGAAGCAAAGCCTCTGGTCGGACCATAGTGTGGGACAGCAGGTCACAGGAGAGGCCTCGTGGAGGAGCACCGGGTTCAGGAGGCTCGGAACTGTCCATGTCCTCTACCTGGAGAGATTATAGTTTGACAAACATTTTAGGGCTATAACAATTAAACAATGAATCATAACTAATCCAGTTTTTGTTTTTTATATCAACAATTGTTGTTTCATAAGCTTATTTTAGCTCTGAACTGATACTGGTTGTTTTGACTGTTTTTACCTGTTTTTACTGAGAAGCACTTTGTGGCCTTGGTCTGTGAAAGGCGCTGTATAAATAAAGCTTACTTACTTGTAGTTTTTTTTTTCCCCGTACAATGGGAGCAGACACAAATGTTTACTTTCCATCTTTGAATGCAAAAAGGTTTTAAAAAGTCTTAAAACTCAAGCATATCACTAATCTTGTGAGAAGTCTTAAGGACAATCAAGCTAAATGGTGAGTGCTCCAATATACACTTTAATCAGCTCCACTCTTATTTATTTATACAGGTCTGCTTAATGGCAGAGCATTATGCATGAATTTGTTTGTGTAAGCTCTCAGCATGAATATTGAAGATGTTTAGAATAGACTAGTTATTATCGCACCTACAAATACATGAATCACCCTAAACCAATCACTTGTAATCAGTTCATCTGCACAGTAACACATCTGTTATCACCCTCAGGGCTGAATTTCAATGGAGCCTGACAGGCTTTCCTTAAGCTGATGTTGGTGGAGCAATTCGCGTTCACTCCATCACGTCATTAGTCCAGAAATCACATGGAATCAGCTCAGCTTCCTCCACCATCAGGGTCTGGACCTAAATCTCCAAACCTATAACATCCACAGCCACTGTTGGTATGCACGGAGCATCTTGTGTGAACACTGTGACAGTTGTGTATATAATCTGTGAAGTTCATTAAATTGCGGTCAGAAATTCTCTTGCAGACTTTTCTTTCTCCTAAACATGGCCTGGACAACCATCTGCCGATTTCATCCATGAACAACTCTTACATTTGATGTGTCACTTCAACTGTCAGTGAAGGCAGGCGTACAATACTGAAGCTACAAACAGCATTAATCACACTATTCTTTGATTGTCTATTTCAAAAGTCTTCAACAACAGGAAAATATGATAAAGAGTGTACAAACCACAGCAGCACAATAGTTGAAGCTAAAGTGACTGCTCATGCTCATCCCTACAAATGGAAAAACAGCTTTGTGTCACCTCTTGTTCCCCTGCTCCTCGACTCGGCTCATACTCCGTGACCACGATGAGAGACTCCATGGGGTCTGGAGATGGTGTGAGAGAGGGAGCCTCAGCAGCAGGAGCAGGGCAGCTGCACAGCAGGTCAGGCAGGGGCTGAGGGGCCTGGGGAGGCACTGCATGGCTCCCATGTGAAGACACAGGTTCAGCCGAGGGCCACGCACTCACATGACACGGAAACATGGTGCGTTTCCAACCACGACTCCATCAGTGGGAAAGAGGCAGCGGCGACATGACTGAAAGACAAGTTCAGTCGTGATGTTTTAAAAGTAACACTATATGTGTATAAATATAACACTCTACACACACACAGTATACACAGTCCTACACAGAACATGAGTGGTTACTTTGGTTAAGTTTGATTATTATTAGGGATGTACCGATCCAGATTTTTTGTAATCTGATCCAATTCCGATATTCTTAAATATTGTTTTGCCGATACAGATCCAATTATTTCTAATATTTTCAAAGCATCAAAGATTTCGCAACCAGTATTACTTTGAAATGTTTTTTGTTATAACATGACGAAAAATATTGTTTGGCTTTTGCTTAACAGACTTATTGAGTTAGGTCATAGGTACGAATCACATCAGTGTTGAATATTTCACATTTATCATAAACTTCACATAAAAGAAATATCAAAGAGAAACATTTATCAAAAAGCTGCCCTCAGTACTTAGCCAGTGTGTGAACTCTGTAAATGTAAAGTCTCCGATACCAAAAATAATCAAATACAAATCATTTGTGCAACATTTAACCTTAAATCAACTCAAAACAATGATAAAATAGAGGGAGGTACTCCTCCTTTACTGGTTCAAAGCAAACACAGAATCTTACTCAAAAGAGGAGTTTATATTTAGCTGAAAAGTGACGTAAATCGGCTTCATATTTAACAAATCTGATATTATCCGATCCTCACAAATACCCATATCGACCCCCGATACCGATACTGAATATCGGATCGGTACATCCCTAACTATTATTATTAACACTTTATTTAAACAAAATCACATTAAACAGAATGTTGCATCCATTACCTGGTAAACCACTACAATTATTGAATTTCTTCAATTCTGACGGTGAACACATTATTTTTTCAATTTCCTATTTGTTTTGTTAAATAAAGTTATCATGCTGGTAATAAAACAAAGTTTGTATGAGTTATAATTTAAAAAACTGATTCAAATTAATCTTGCCAATGGCCTCCTATATCGGTTATCAGCCTTCTAATTACTGATAGTAGTCTTGAAAAAAAAAAAACACACATATCGATCTAGAAGTTTGACATTGAGATTGAAAAGTCTGACCTGTGATGTTTTCTCACATATCACCAATGCTAATAATGAACATAGGTTTGGCAGGTTTCACTTCTGCCATACTGGTGAAAATTATACAAAACAAGCACTAGAAATACAGTGGACAGTTTGGACACACTTTCTCATTCAACTAGTGTCCTTTCTGTTCATGACTATTGACTGTAGATTCACACTCTGGCTGTGTAAGGGCTGTTTGACCAATAAGGAGAGTGGTGGGTGCTGGGCCAGATGACCCGGCCTCCACAGTCACCGGACCTGAACCCAATCCAGATGGTTTTGGGGTGAGCTGGACCACAGAGTGAAGGCAAAAGGGCCAACAAGCGCTAAGCATCTCTGGGAGCTCCTTCAAGACTGTTGGAAGACCATTTCAGGTGAAGCTCATCAAGAGAATGCCAAGAGTGTGCAAAGCAGTGATCAGAGCAAGAGGTGCTACTTTGAAGAACCGAGAATATAAGACGTATTTTCAGTTGTTTCTTTTTGTTGTTTTTTTAGCACATACGTAATTACACATGAGTTGATTCATAGTTTTGATGCCTTCAGTTTGAATGAGAAGGTGTGTCCAAACCTTTGGTCTGTACTGTAAGTTTCGAATCTGTTTTGTTTAATGAGTAACACTGATGGAGCTCACAGTTTTAGCTGCGAGAAGGAAGAAGAAAAGTATCATGTTGACAGAAGTACAAGCAGCTTTTTCCATATGAAACGCCAACTAAGCCTGGACACATTTACCACACATTCTGTCAGGCGATAATTAATGCGAGTACTTCTCCATGTCTCCGACGACAGATTTGATGAAGAAGCTTATCTGCATTTGAAGTGTTCTTTCTATTATGTACCACAGCCTTGACCCTTTTTCACATCATTGCAAGAGGCCAATGTTCGTCCCTAAATCTACTCACCTTATTATCAGCTCCAAGTATAGAAAAGGAAAGAGCATGACAGACATGATTTCTGCCATGGTTTGGATGAGAAAGTGGGAGCGGAATAAATGCACACAAAGCAAAAACAAAAGACACAAAACCTGAGTGTACTGAGTAGGAAGAGACACCCACTCCAGGCGCTTTGTGAAACCAAAATAGACAAAAACAACATTTTCATAATCGTCTCTTTTCTGACCAATATGGAACATAGAACTTGAATTACTGTCGTCTACTGGGCTAGAAATTCATATTTGGAGCACTACATAAAAAGCAACACAACATTTTATTTTTATTTTGAGCAGCAGTTTACCTTTTGAATGAAAAACAAAACAAATAAACAAATAAACTAATGAACACGAACGGTACTGCAATACTTCAAACTCTCACTCATACTAATCATATTTGAGTCAATACCCAATTTGACACCAAGATGATGATTTTAATATTCTTGATATTTAAAATACCGTTATATTCAACACTAAAGAATATTAAGAAAATAGTATAATAGTACAATCCAATATTTTATACAGGTTCTGATAAAGCTAATGTGCAATAATAATGTACCAATATAAATATTTACTTTGTGTAGGCTTTTTATATCCACTAAACATGACAAGCCTGACCTACTTAGATGCTTTTGTTTTGGTTCATGTCAAGTAAAAAACATGAGCAGCCCATGACATTACAAGGGCAGAAATATCTGTTTGTTTGGAAGATGGTTCTAACTGGTTATTTCTAACAATAATGTTTTCAGATACTAACTGACCACTGTTCCTCGACCCAGACAAAGCTCTTTTGGTGGTAACTTAACAAAGAACCAGCTGCATGGCACATGGTGTTTGACTCCAGATGCTGCCTCCTCTTATCATATCTGTGCCGATCAGGGAGGGGCAAAAAACAGGGGCTTAAGCATTGTTGCAGAGCCATATGGCGAGATATGCAGGGGAGAGGCAAATAATGATCAATATAAATCAGAGAAAATATGTTTAATTTTACTTTTTAAACAATAAGTGTATCTTATAAGCGTAACAAATGAAATGGTGAACTATAGTAGTAGTTACAACTCTGTGTAAGAGAGTCTGTAACAAATAAAGATATCATCAATTGAAGTTAATATTTTTTATCAATAACGTAAAACAAGAAATGAATCCTTAAATTGCACAGATGTGTTTACCTTGTAATCTGAAAATCTTGACACATTCGGGACATTACATTTTCTTCAAAATGTTAATGAAATCAGACATTTGTACACGTTATACATCTTTAATTTTTTACTGGATAAAGTATATATATTTCTCCTACTCCTATATTGCGTTTATAGCAAGAAAATATATATGTAAATACATAGTAATTCTTATATTTAAAAACCGTGCTATGTGCGCTAAATTATAAAAAGTCGTGCCCATGCAAGCTCAAACACTTTAACAAGAACAGCAGCATTAGCATTGTACAGCCACTCCGCAGCGTTACAGTAGACATGGCAAGGCAAGTTTATTTATATAGCACAATTCATACACAAGGCAACTCAAAGTGCTGAACAAAACAAGAAAGCATTAAAATCATAAATAATCACAGTACATTAAAAAAAATATAAAAATATAAAATCCCTCAGTTGTAGCACAGCTAAACAGAACCGTCTTTAACCTGGTTTTAAACATTGTCAGAGAGGAGGCCTGTCTCACATCTTCAGGAAGACTGTTCCAGATTTTAGCAGCATGAATCTGAAAAGCAGCCTCCCCATGTTTAGTGTAGACATGGTTAGGGCGGTCATAATCTCATTCCTTCACTTAAGAACAATCAAAGCCAAGTGTCGCAAAGTGAAGGTGCTTTCTCTCATGTGACTTATAGCCTCTCCTTAGCAGCTAACATTAGCGTGTTTTGACGGTGTTGACAGATGTTGGGGACGTGGGTTAATCGCACGATGCTACAGCGCAGTAAATACACATGAACAGCAGTGCTAAATAAGGAATTCCTACTGTCCGCAGAACAAATTAACCTTACCGTTTCACGAGTGCCAGTCCTTCTGAAGACACTTTGTGCTTAGAGCTTTGAACGGGAGCTAGCTGCACGACGCGAGTATGAGGCGCACGCACGCACGCACACCAGTGTTGTTGTGATCGCGTGAGCAGATGCAGCCGCAGAGGTCCATGCGCCCCTGCTGGACACTCTGGGAACAGCCAGGGCGGAACCAACACACTACTGGAGACTGGACGATGTTATGGCTACATGCAGCCTATGATTTGCACACCAATACATCATTTACATCCAAGTCTTCGAACAAAACAAAAAATATGACTTGTATTGTTTCAGAATATGCACACTCACTCCATGTGGTTAAACACAAGAGTGTGTACATCCAAGTCATGTTGCAGTTGCTCGAGTTAAAGCTCATTGAGTTGCATGAATTTGTATGAAATGTGCTTTACAAATACATTTTACTTCATATTTTGATCATTTAAACTTTGAGTAGTGGCAAAACTAATCCAAGTTTCACAAAACTGTCAATTCCATTATGGATAGTAGCATTTTTAAATTCACTCCTTACCCTAATCATACACATCCATTTTCTTCCCCTTAATCCATTTCTGGGTCGGTGTCCTCCTGCAGATGGTGAGTCCACAGGAGCCTTGATCTTCCAGCGGTGCTTCAGGCAAAGTGGGGTTAAGTGTCTTGCCCAAGGACACAACAGCAGCAATCATCAGTGGGAGTCGTGAAGTACGGTACAGACCAAAAGTTTGGACACACCCACCCATCAAGAGTTTGAATCTACAGTCAATTGCACAAGTTGACAGCCAAAAAATGGTCAGGGGTTTCTCAACTGATCCAGACTAATGTTGGTGTTCTGAGTCTGAATATCACATGCATGTTGCTCTATCAGGTCAACTTTTTGAGATACAGCCAAAGTGTTACGGATTATGTACGTCTACGTTATGAATTCTGCTTATCAAATTTGATGGAGTAAATAAAAACTGAATGACTTTGGATACGTTGACTTTTGAGGAAAACTGAAAAAAACGTCAAGGGTTTCTCAGCTGATGATCCGCAGAATTTTTTTTTTTTTTTTTAACGCAAAATCGGTTTAAAAAAATATTTCTGTAGCAAAAAAAATCCTGACCTGATTGAACAAAACCAATGTCATTTTTGGACTCAGAGCATCAACATTAGTCTAATTCAGCTGGAAAACCCTGGACTATTTACAATTTTTTTTTTTTTTTTGACACTCAATGAATGAGAAAGTGTGTCCAAACTTTTGGTCTGTACTGTAGGTCTCATGGTGGGCTCGAACACACAACCTTAAGGCTCAAAGGCCAATGCTCTACCATCTTAACTTGGTTGAACTGCGGGCGACTATGGCTAAGTAAAATCTTAAAAATTCTACCACTCTACATTTTTTTTAATGTGGGTGGCTGAGTGGATAGCACTCTCGCCTCTCAGTAAGAAGGTCCTGGGTTCGAATCCCGGTCGGACCAGGGCCTTTCTGAGTGGAGTTTGCATGTTCTCCCCGTGTCTGCGTAGGTTTCCTCCGGGTACTCCGGTTTCCCCTACCACTAAAAATATGTCCAATTGTTCTAGCATGTGCCTCCTGTACTGGCCCCGCTCCCATCTCTGTGTGGAGAGAGAGACAAATGCCCAAAAATTAACAATTGTAAACCGCTTTGAGACTCAGATCTGCAGTGAAAAGGCGGTATATAAATAAAAACTTACTTACATTTTTTAAAAAGATTTTATTTTCATAAAAAATGAAAAGCAATTAACTGAAAAACATTTAAACAGGTCTACACAACAAAAAGAAAAGCAGTCTATCGCCTCTTCTGGAAAATGTTTCCTCTGCCGATTCCTCCACGGCCTCGACCCCGTGCTGCCACTGTCACACAAACACAAAAAGTCAAAAACAGAACACCTCAGTTACAGAATCATGTTCTGATATCACTGCAGACATACCCTGTGCTTTAAGAATGGCAGCTTTTCCTCTTCCAGCTCCAGACCCTTGGTTCTTGTTTTTCATGCTCTTTAACATGGGGGCGTTTTTTAACATGTCTGGTAGAATTAAAAAGCGGATCTTGCTTCCACGTATGTAGACTTGTTCCAATTGAGCCACTCTACCGTCTCGATAGGTTACAGTGATGTTTGACATCTAGAGTGTAAAGAATATGTCGATCACGTTTGATAATCTATACACCATTCACAAAACAAATAAAATGTGCATACAATTTAAATATAAGTTGTTGATTTTAAATATGTCTCATAATCAAAGTGGAATTTTTTCTCTCAAACTTTGTATCATCCAGAAGATGCATGTTTCAGCATTCATCCAACTCAGACAAATATATAGGTGACGTCAGTGCTCGTTGGTCTTGTTAGGATTATAGAGCGATTTGACCGACGGAGGACAACTGCAGGACTATTTTTAGTTTAGTTTATTTTATTTATTTGAGCAATCTTACGACCTATACCTGTACGAGGACTCTTCTGATTGACTCTGATGTGACTGTCTCTGTGTGACACGTCTTTCCATGTGTGACGTGACAATGACTATATAAACTGTGTACTGCCTTTAATCTGTCTGAGAGAAAGAAACAATGGAAACCACTGGAACTTGAGAGAAACTTAAATAAACTTCCAGAGTTTGGCGTACCACGATCCGTCTCTGTCTGGTTCATTAATCCTCCAGTACTGACCAATGCGCCCCATTCCAAAAATCAGTCCTCTAATCTCTTCGAATTAGCAATATTTAATAAATAATTTTGTTTTAAATATGTATAGATTTAACATAAAAAGACTACGAAAAAAAAGCAAGAGCTTGTGTGTGTATATGCAGTGTTGTTGGGAGGCAAATAAGCAATTTCTGCAAACGCATTTTGTATCTTGTTTTGTGTTCAATCATTCAAATTTGTGTATCTATTTATCTTCCTTCAGCATCCGAGCAGCTCATGCTTCTCTAACCTAATGGCATAGCTCTATCACATGAATGGCTATGTGAGCAAGTGCTTATTTATGAAAACACATTCATGCCGCTTCAACCGCAGGAGTGGATTAACAGTGCCGCGTCACACTGAGGAAGCATCTATGGGCTTCTCCCATGATGTCAGATTACAGCATCCATCCATTTTCTACCCTTTAATCCATTTCTGGGTCAGGGGGGTGGCAGTCAGAGATGCCACCCAAGTCTCATAGCACCAGCCCCTCACTGACCCTCTGCAGGTGGTGAGTCCACAGGAGGACGGCTGCTCTCTGAGTGTGAGCATAGCCTTGATCTTTCAGTGGGGGCTTTTGGGCAAAGTGGGGTTAAGTGTCTTGCCCAAGGACACAACGACAGCAGTCATCAGTGGGAGTAGATGGAGAAGGTACAGAGGTGGGAATTGAACCCACGACCTTCTGGCCTTAAGACCAATGCTCTACCAACTGAGCTACTGTCGCCAGATTACAGCAGTTGAAGTGAAGTGTGTGACTGACCTGGCAGTTCATGTTGTCCTCTGCCTCAATCAGTTTGCCCCTGTACACTTCTCCAGTGTTGGTCTCACAAGTCACGATGTGCCCCTCAGCTTCATGGAGGACTTTAATAGGTACACCAATAGACATGTTTTATGTTCCTGCAAAATAAGAAAACAAGTTTCTGAATGAAGAGTGTCATGTATAAAATTGGACCCAACATACTTTCGAACCTGTAGGTATAGGACGTAAAGGTGTGATGATTCTCCTAAACTTTAGTAAAGAACCACCTACTTATTTTGGCATTAAACTCTGGTCTTATTTGACGAGCAGGTATCACCAGAATGATTGACAATTAGGAGGACCAACAGTTTGGATCCACCCGGAAGTAGAAAGTCCTCAATACATTTAAGTCTCAAAATTATCCCAAAACTCACGCACATATTTTAAACTGATGTACCTGTAACGTTGCTCAAATGCAAATTTGGCAGCAGTACAATGTGAATGATATCATAAAAGCCAATCCTTTCTGACCGTGCATTTATTTAGCCTCTAATGCTACATTGTAACGTTGTTAGCAACATTAGCATGTATTGCTATCACATATTCCAAGATACTCGTTTACAATTCATGGAAGCATTTCAATCAAACGTGTTCAGAAAACCAACGCACTAAAATACAAACAGTCAAACAGGGTTATGGGATTACCGAGGTATTTACAAAGACTAAACGAAGAAGAACGTCGACAAAGCAAACCAGTGACGATGTGAGACGGAGCACCTCTGAACTAAGAAGATTGTGCACAGTGAAAAAAATACTTCCATTTATTCCATGAAGACAACTGGGCGGACACTCTGTAACCTTAAATCTTACCTTTAGTTGTACAAGTTGCAGAATTTCACAGCCAACGTGCGCGCGTCGCTTTCTCTAGTCTCAACCTTTTCCGTCTACCCACAATGCCCCAGTGCGTTGAAGTACTTCCGGCTGCATGGAACGGGGGCTTGTGGGAAATGACGTTTTAGCGCTAGAGCCATTATAATACAGTCTATGTTTTTTATACATCTGTAGGAGCTATTTGCTTGTAGGCTAGATTAATTTAATTTATTTGGGGGTTTTGAATTTTTTGGGAATCTAGATATGAAATATTTGTAGATTATATTGGGTTTACTTCAGTTTGGTTTAGTTTTATAGTTTAGTGGCACCTAGGGGATAAAAGGGGGCAGTACAGGGCGGGCCTTCATGCACCTGGGTGGGCCTATGGTTTTTACCAGTTCTGGGAGATGCAGCATTTTTGTGTTGTTTGCCTGCATCTTGATGAATAAACCTTTCTTGAACTTTAATTTGTTTAGAATGGACATTTGTTTATTTTGTACTGCGTAAACCACTTACCCATGGTGCATTTGAGTGATTATTTGAGTTTGAATGTTCTTAAGTTTGGTTACATTTTGTTTGATAGTCTATTTTTTGACAAATAGTCACTACAACATCCATCCAACCAAATAACAGCTGTTCCATTATGTCATTCATCATTAACTTATTACATCATTAACATCAAATGGAAAAAAGTCTGGACACTTCCCCACAAATTCTTCCTCACAAACAAACAAATATACACTCATTCTTCGCAGGTGGCTAGGAAGGTAAGACTCAGGGAAGGTTAAACTCCTCAGACTGTCAGTCAAGCTGCATAGGGAGTCAGTTTGCTGGGAGAAGTATGGTAACTTGAGCACTATCCTCTCCTCCTTCCTACTTTATCTGTTTAGCATTTTTAGGATTCTGACTGTAGTTTGTTCATTGCTATTCACCCGTTGTCCCATTGTCTGTTTCATGGTACGATGACGGGATCTCTGAGCCTGGCCTCTTCCATCTACACCTGCGGACTGCCCTGCCCGACCCGCCTGGGAGTGCTTTGGTCCTGCACCGGACCTGTCCACGTTCAGCGTCCACTGGTCCACGTCCTGTAGCTAGCTTAGGTCCTAGATCATTAGCCTGTCCGTCCGGAGGAGCGGATCCCTTTCTCATATGGGTCTCCCTCCCTGTGGGTTTCCCTAGTTCTCCTCCAAGGTTTCTCACTTTTTCCCACTGGGTTTTTTAAGAGTTTTTCCTTGTCGATGCAGGAGGGTCTTGTTGGACAGTTAGTGTCCAACAGAAAGGATTGGTGATGATCAGGACACTTTAGCATTCTACAACATGTATGGACATTTTCTTCTGTGTGTGCTTTATATTCTTCATGTGTTTTAACTGTTGATTCTCTGACCTGTGTTGGTGATTTCAATGGTTTTGTTAAGTCCTCTGAGATGACTTCTGTTGTGACCTAGGGCTATACAAGAATACATTGTATTGTATTGTATTGTATTGTTATCCCGTCAAATCTAATTTTCAGGTCTAATGGACACAACCTTCTCCTTCTGTGGGACCGAAACTCAAACTCATGTCACTCATCTCTTCTGGACATGTCTCCTACTGCCACATTCTGGAAACAGATAATTCAGATACATATGCTATGCTCTTTGGTTTCTTTAACAAATACAACAACAAATACGACATACTTAATCTGTTAGTCATTCTACTAGTCAAATTCCATGTTTACAAATCAAAATTCTTAAATTGAAAACCCCTATATAACATATTTCATAACTGAATTAATCTACATAAGCAATATACTAATCCTTCCAATCAACCAAAAGCAATCAGACGTTTCGAAACATGTCATGTCATTTTCAATTAATCCATTTTATAAATCAATTTCTGCGTCCGGGGGGGGTCCACAGGAAGATGGCCTTGGTCTTCCAGCGGGGACTTCAGGAAATGTAGGGTTAAGTGTCTTGTTCAGGGACACAACGACAGTGGACATCAGCGGGAGCCGTTGACATGGGTCGTGGTGGTCTCAAACCCAGGACCATTAGGTACAGACCAGTGCTCTATCATCTGAGATACTTGAACACTTTTCAAACATTCTTCATTCAAATCGACCCTATTTTTTCTTAGTTGTTGTACCGTGTTTTGTCGTTGATTCATGAAAATTGATTAGTCCTTATGAGAAGTAATGTAAGTTCCCAAAATGTTCACTGCGTTACTTGATGTAATACGGGTATAACTGCAGACCTATAGGATCAATTAGGTCTAAAATTATAATATTCAGTTATAATGAAGAGGATCCCAAAGTTCCACCAGAGGCAGCTTGTATTTCAGCTGGAATGTATTAAAGCTGGAGTAACATGAAACCACAAATAACTTATGTAATATAATGCATAATTACCTTAGTTTAGTGCATGTGTATGGGGGACCGTGGCTGCCAAAACAATAAATATATACAGAAATAAATAAATAAATGCAAAAATAAATAAGTGTATGTATAAATGCAGAAAAAATGTATGAATAAATACAATAATAAATAAATACAGAAATAAATGCACTTATTCTAATAACTGCATGTATTTCTTTGCAAATTTTATCTTTTTAAAATTTATTTATTTATTCCTGTATATATTTATTGTTTTGGCAGCCACGGTCCTCCATGCATGTGAGTAGTAATACCAAATAAGTTACCGATGACCAATGTCCCCTAAGCGGCGCATCTGCAGGACTAATGGGGTCTCGGTGCATAGAAAACTGACCTGTGCACAAAATATAAATCCAGCCTGATAGACTGCCTCGCCAATGCAGAAAGATCTAAGGACATCAACATTCAAGGGCATATATATTAACATTTATGTTAATATATTAACATAAAGTTTGAACGGTTTGATTTTCTGATCTGCGTTTGCAAATAGACAACTTTGTAAAGTCCTCAGAGATAACTACTGATGGGATTTAGGGCTAGGAAAAAGTACATTGAATTTAATTGACTGTCCAAGAGGATGGGAGAAGCGCCGGTCCAACACAGATGTCTGAAGCTTGGTTAAACCAGAACACTGGAAAAGGACTGGTTCACATCCATCATGACCAAACGCTTTACAGAAAAAACTTCTGTCGTTGAATTTATTCACCATCATCTGGGACAGTAATGTTCGATTCAATGGTGGCACTTGCTGTCTGGGGGCCCTCTCACAACACTTGCATATTATCTTCATGATCGGAAGCTCTCCGTGGGTGATGGCGGCTGCAACAGCGCCCACGCCTCCTAACTTTGGAGGGTGTTGGTCTGCAAACTTTTGCAAAATATATCATAGACATATATTTTTATATGTCTATGTCCCGAGTCGACTTCTGCATAATATTATTTCCAAATCCCCCTAGAGAGTACCCTGGAGATCCCCCTAGGGATTGGGGGTTGAGAAATTGACCAGGCTATTCGTCCAACATTTTTCCCGCCACAAGCTCTGTTATTGGAATGCCAGGCACTTGATCCATGGATGCCACATTGACTCAAGAGTAGATCCTCTGCTGCAACTACTTCATGTATTTCCTTATTGAGTGAGGCGTGTGTCCCCATATATCACCTCTTTAGTAAACCAGTGGTACATCTGTTTGCTTTGAAAACCTCAACTCACTGCCTTGTTTTTCCCTGATTTTGGCCCAAAACTCTCAAAGGGTTGGGCATCAGATATTGACCCATCCTGATGCCACTAAGACTTGATTCAGGAGCAGTGGTCGCCATAGTACAGCGCCCAGGAATCCATCTCCAGATGTTGATGCTCGGCTTGGTCAGGATTACCGGAGCTGGAGGATTTGACCTAGTGTGCATGTTTTTAGTGGTATAGGGAAACCAGAGCACCCGGAGGAAACCTACACAGGCACGGGGAGAACATGCAAACTCGACTCAGAAAGACCCTGTTCCGACCAGGATTCGAACACTGGATCTTCGTACTGAGAAGCGAGAGTGTTATCCGCTCAGCCATCGTCATATAAACCTGTAGTCCGAACAGACCATGAGTGGATCTCCTGTAAGACTGTATTGTTTTTGGCTCGTGTAAAAAGAGTTAGTTACATGCACTTTACATCAATCCCTGGGTGGGAACCTGAAAATTCTGGTCTTACTACTGCAACATGCACATGATTCTGCCGGCCGCAGTCTTCTGTCTGAGATGAGGGCCTATTCTCTGCCATCTGGGGTTCCTCTGGACACGCAGAACCCGTTCACCAGGTTCTACTGATAATACACGTGACCACTCCTGCTCCTCCAGCTCTTCTCCGTGAGTTATGTAGGATTCTATGTGACCAGCTGGTATTCGGTCGGGAGTACAATCTATGGTCGGAAGGGATGAAATTTTACAAGTTACATTTAAGACTACAGTTCTATGAATCCTGGATGACCACCAGAGGCGCTGTCACTCAGGATGCTTGTGTTGCTGCAAGAAGGTTTCAGTACCACTCAAATTGTGCATGAATGGAGCATTCAGTGTTTTGAACTGGCCTTTGGCAGTCTGATTTTCATGTGAAAGCAAGAGTATCATCTCTCAGCTTAATATATAAGAAGATATATATTAAAGACAGCATGTGGTTTTATTTCAGTTTCACAGCGTTATAAAGTTAGGGTACTCCAGCTATGAAGAGACAAGCGTCTAAATGTTGATAAACTAAACGTTGGGTATTTTGCCTACAGCCTACACATTTGCATCACACGTCATTGGAAATGATGAACAGATTAAACCTTTGTCATTTACTGCAGACTGCCAGGGGCCACTAGGAGGATAATGTGTGAGCAAATATTTACAATATACAATAAACAACTTTGTAATAAACAGATTTCTACATCTAGGTTAATTTTTTTTTAATAAAAGCATTGTGATGAAGTCAACAAACCTTTCAGACAACAAAAAATAGACATTTCAACTTTAAAATACTTCAGAGTACATAAGATAATACAGGAGTGTTTACACTATCTGCTGGCCAGATGGACAGGTGATGAGGCCTAATGAGACGGCCTAAAGTGCAAGAGCCTTTTAATGAGGAAACACTAAGTATAATGGCGTAATAAAAAACATCAAATGACGGCCCATTGGATTTCCACTGCACTTGGGTCGATGGATGTCGTCATTTTCTCTGTTAACACTTGGCTGAAATTCTTGTAGATTATACAGTTGAATATGTTTAAGCAGTTTAGGCAACGGCTTTGAGGAGATAACGAGATTGTGAAGCGGTTGTTTTGTTTTGGCTGGTGATCACTACTCAGTCATGGCTGATTCAATATTGTATCGTAACAGGCATGTGTTGCCATAGCAGTTATCAAATCAATTATCATTTAGTTCCATTCAGCACTTCCTTTGAGAAATGGATAATTGGGTACACACAAAATGATTCTTCCGCAGTAAATTGCTTTTGAAAAAAATATGATTCAAAATTGTGGGATTTTTAATACTTCACATCCAAACTCAATCAAATAATATTATGGTAAACAAAGGCAGATGACATTCTTATGGTTATAATTTAAAACATAACACATTAGAGAATGTTAGGAAACTTCTGGAAGTTCTGTGGAACGTGTTAAGCCAGTCTGTGTTTCCATGACGGCTTGAACATTGATGAAGGTAATGCTGTGGTCAATATCCATGACTTCCTGAAAATGTCCCTGATTGTTCTCATGGGGCACTCGTCGTCCTCCTATGAAAGTCCGCTGCTGGACCTGTGATACATACGTGTTCACTGTCTTTCCATTTGGCACATTCAATGTTAACATTGTGTCTGTCCAGCTGTTTGAGCCTTCTTGAGAAGCTTTCGGAGACACATGTTTAGAACCTGGATCAACAACATAACTATTGACCACAGTGCTGCATGAAGAGCCCTCTTTACTTATGTGAGATGATGAACGCCTTCTCCACCCATCTCCAGAGCCATTATCATTTCTAATTCCTGCCTTCTGTCTATCTCTACACCCAAGTGTAAGCTGAGATAAAATCCTTCTAAACGTCTGCCTGAACTCCCTAATGCGGTATGCATAGATAAAAGGATTGACCACAGAGTTTGCATGGGAGAGAATTATTGCAATGTTCATAACCCAGATATGTGGACGCTCGCAGCCATCACACAAGAAGTTGAAGCAATTGATGATGTGCACTGGAAGCCAACAGAATGCAAACAGACCCACTATTATAGCAAGAGATTTAGCGGCATGAACTTCCTTCTGCAAGGTGGACTTGGAAGAGGATGTTGCAACTTCTCCATTGGGCCGTGTACGTGCAGCTTTAAATCCGATAAGTCTGAGCTGATATCGAGCTGCCATAAATATGTTAGCATAGATGACCAACATAGCCACTAAAGGCATGAGCACACATCCAAAGAAGTTGAAATACACCATGTAATGTAGGGTGACCACCCCCTCAAACAAGCACTCCGTCATGCCATGTGGGCAGATGCTGCTGTTGTTGTTTTGGCCATGGGTTGTGTTTCCCCCTGTAAAATAATAAATTATTAAAAAACAAGTGACTTGAAAGTCAATTTTTGACAATAGACTTGACAAACTAAGTGCTATTGTCACCCCTATTGATTTCCATATAGCAGAAGAAGAGAATTAGCGCTAAACAGGCTCTAAGAGCATGAAAGGGCCAATTTGGAATTGCATCAGTCTGTCCCTGCTTGCACTTCTCGTCCGGGATAGAAGGTACCTGATTTTTAAGTTGTAAGGGTTCATATCCAAATGTTAAAATATTAAAATATAAACACACACACATCATACACAGTGTTAAACCATGGATTTTTAAACCCAAAATGACAATATGACACAAACGTTTCCAATGTGAGTAATTGGGGCTAAAGTAAGTTGGACCAACATTTCTTCCATGTTGTCATAGAGCAGGAAAGTTAGTATTGCCCATTCCCATAGAGCCTATCCGCCCTGGAGGACTACCATTGACACAATAAAGTTCATTAACCTGTGTTCCAGCCTAGTATCGGTGTCAAGCCAATGGCCACAGACAGGATCCAGCACAAAGCTACAATGGCTTTAGCTCTCTTCCCAGTGACCACGCCGCTGTACCTAAAATATAAACAAAAGGAAAATATATTTCATTTTTAATACCAAGGAAGCATCAGGCCCATAAAACTAATCATGCTCTGCAAGAATAACTCTCTGGATATTTTTTCACAGACTAAATTATTCAGTGACTCACATTCATCCGGCATTAGCTCTGTTATCAAGGGGCCCTAATGGACCAATATTCATATCCTCAGATACAGATGTCTAAATTAGATCAACATGGGAAACATGTTGTCCTGTGGTCTTTATGTACAGTTTGTTTAAATGAATGAATGCACTTTGGTTGATATTTACTATGACATTATATTCCATACAAATAGGTCAGCTATTGGGTTAAAATAAATTACACTTTAACTCAGACGATCTGCATATTATTTACGTTTCCATTAAATGTGGAGGACCTACTGTATGTACTCAATGCAAGTGAGTTTTGAAAAACACTTCAATAATAATATTAATACTTTCCTTTACTTACTTTATCATACCAACAATTGTTTTAGTGTCTTCCAGTTCTCTCTCACCTGAGTGGATTCTTGATGGCAATGTATCGGTCTGCAGCTATGGCCAGCAGACTGAAGATGGAACTCTGTGTGAGCACCAGGAGGAAGCAGGCGATGAAGAGGCAGCCGAGGAAGTGTGCACAGAATCCAGTGCTAGGGTCAAAGAGACTTGCAATAATATATACAGTACATATCTATTGTGTATGATATATTTGTGATGGTGGGAACTACGGAATAGGCCTGTCAAAATAATCACTACATCTTACTGTAGAGCAAAGGTTGTCTCAGAAAACATTTAGAGATTTTATTTTCAATTTTCTAGGCATTTTTTTGATTATCTCCCAGTTGTTCTGAAAAAGTAAATGTGTTTTTTTTTTGCGACGTCCCAGGAAATCATGCTCATTGAGATGACATTTTCATTTTGCAGTTATGATTAATTATCTGTGTCATAAGTTAAGGTTCAAAATGAGTAATGTGTTACATAAGTAATGAACAACCATTTTATAATCATTGCAATTCATTCATTATCTTATGATTAAATACTAATCTTCTGCGATTAAGTTTCACTGCATATACTTTTTCAGTGGCATAAAGCAGTTGTATCTTAATCACTGTCTAAAGCAAGATCAGAATCAAAATAATTTCAGAATCAGAATCAGAATAATTTTGTGGTCTATAATAATCAGTTATTGTGACAGGCCTACTGGAGGAGCTTGTACCTTATTGCAATTGCAAACGGGATAGCAACTAAGCCCACAGCAATGTCCGCTACAGCCAAAGACACCACGAAGAGGTTGGTGACGCTCTGAAGGTTAGAGTTGAGGTGTACCGCCCAGCAAACCAGGACATTTCCTCCCACGGCCAAACATGCTATCACTACCTCCAGGACAATGTAAACCACTTGGTCATTCTTTATCATGGTGACCGGATCTCATCTCCCCTGGTGAGCCATGCAAAGAGTCTTTACCATAAACGGCAGGTTGTGAAAAGGCATGATCTGACGTCAGTGGAGATTATAGCGGTAAAACCAAAAACAGGGAAGTCCCCAAAACAACGTGTTTGCAGAACGTTTTATCCATCCGCCTTTATCAACCGTCGTCTTTGTTCTCACTTGCTCAACCGAGAAAGCGCCAACGGTTTGGAACGTTTGTGGATGGAAGTCAAAGCTGTTGTCTGTGGAGGAAAATCAGGTACAATCTCAGTGTCACGGCCAGTACAAACAGGCTTCGCTTAAGCACACAGGTCAAAACACCATTTGTCTTTGTGAGAGAAAAGGACAGATTGTTTTCTGAACTCTGCCAAAGCAAAGGGTTTAACAATGCGGCTTTTATTTCAGGAAAGTTTCCCAAAAATACCGTTCAATCCAGACATGGGTACAGGCTCTTTCACAACTGACTGATTATGAATCCAAAACAGACCATATGCAACATGTATTTTACAATATCTGGGTCAAATTAGAGATTTGGTTCTTAACATGTTGTAGTTTGTCGTAACAGAAAGATTTTATTTTTTGTCACAAGATCATAATTGGCTGAGTGTGGGTGGTCCTCGGCTCTTGTTATCACTTTCAAAGCTAATCTAAAATTGGGACAAAAGCCAAAATTCATATGAAAACTAATGATAGAAGTGAGTGAACCGTATTTTAGAGAAAGGGACTGGATGGATTCCTAAAAAACAGTTCCATTACTTTGTTTTTTTTTAATGTACTGTGTGTAAAATGACATCACTGGTGCTAAGCTTTCACATTACAGGGATTAAGGACCGGAAAGCACAGAGTATTCTTAAGTAACTAATTTGATCCTTGGCTTTACTGAGATCTTTGGGAATTCCTGATGTCCAGTTTTTCTCAACAACAACAACAACACAAATCTAAATCTTGTATCTAAGAAACATTTCTCCCCTAAAAGACCAATTGCAATCACTGCTTTTAAATGCAGCCAACAGTCTATACATGTGTTATATGAAATGTTGGTCTATGGGTCGTATTAGAGCCTTTTGGTCTGACCTTGACTAAGTTAATTATGCAGGTTATAATTAAGGATAACTCCCCTTGATTTCAGGCAGAGGTAGTTATACAGTCTTTGATAACTTTCTATTGCTTCCCACTTACTTCCCATAGCCCCTGTAGTAAATAGTGAATTAAATGACTGTGTTTGACAGGTGTACAAATGGCAAAGAGGAAGACCATAAAAGCACTTAGGCCACACAGTAAAATATACAAACATGCAGCATCCGTTAAGTTGGACAGTACTTATGCAGAACATATTTTTTTATTAGAATTTGTTCATTTTAATCCTATTGAACCACTTAATCAAGATGTTCAAACTGAAAAGCTTAAGTCCAACTTTTCTTCAATTCTTGGTTTTTTCATGATGGTTGTTGCTATAATGATACAAAATATAGATATACATTATACATCAATGGGCACTGGTCATAATCGGTCTAAATTAATGTTAACCAAATGAACATGTGGGGAAAGAGTGGATGTGATCTAATAAATTATGCTTATGTCAAGTAGGATCAGCCAGTTTAGAAAGACCAACTAAGAAAGCGCAAATGCGGGAAACATGAAAAACCAAGATCCACTGTGTGTGAAAAGGCAAAGAAGAAATCAAAAGTTTGAAATCTTTAGGCCTGCGTCTGGTAAATGTGGAAGTCAGGAAACCAAAGCCAATTTGGTCTTACTGTAAACCGTGCATCAGTTATTTGACACCTCTGAGAGCAAAACACAATCACAACATTTAGTAAAATAAAATACGTACCTTTACTGAGTCTATCAATAGTGCATTTTAGGTAAAAAGGCAAAAGATAAAGCGTGGTATCCCGTCCACAGCAGTAGAGATGTAGAGGTAAGTTATTCTCCCACGAATCAAGAGAGGAAACCCACAGCGCGTGCGCCACACCCCCAAGATGCGCCTCCGAAACCCAGCCGCGCGTGGAAAAAAAAAAGACATGTGGGTTTTGATTATACTGCTACACGATTTCCATATACTCAACTTAAAAAAAAAAAAAAAAAAAAAATACTACTTCCCAAAATGTGTTTATTTAGTTTAATTAGAGGCGAAGTTCCCATAAAGATACAGTCATAAACAAAGTGACTGTATCTTGTCACTCAGAGTAATCCCATAACCTTTTACACAAGGTTGCAAAAGTGAAACCTCAAGACACCAAACCACATCCATGCATCAAACTCATGAAAATATTATAGGTGTAATCAGAAGATGGCGCTGTTGGGCAGTGCTCCTGTTTTTGAGAGGACAGAACTATAATACATTGCTTTTTTAAGAGACTCAAAACAACGACACTAAAACACAAACAGAATTGCAATCAAAGTAACGCAAATAATAATTATAGCATATTAGATTTTACTGCATATTCACTTTGTTTACCAAGAAAATCAGATCAACTATCAGGGACAAACAAACCGGAGTATTCAGAATGTCAAATGCATCTGTATGATATGGTGTTTTTACCCAATTTCGTGTAACAGTGGAATCTAAAAAAAAAAAAAAAAAAAACGTTACTCACCGACTGTAAGCCTCGCATTAAAATGATAACAAGGGTGTCAGAAAGTCTTGTTTGTTTGGCCATTTTATTTTGTAAAACTATTTGACGTCACTAGTGAGGTCACGTGCTTCACCTTTCACCTCTGCTCTCAGTGTGTGGACGTGTGCGTGCATAAGATAGAAACCACACGCTGACCACACACGCTAACCCACTCATAATCCACCCATATACTATTCTTTCCCACCTGTAACTGCCTCCATATCCACAATAAAGTTCCCCATCTGGATGTAGCAGCCTTCTCCGTGCCCTTCTCTCTGACCGGAGCCCCGTTTACAGTGCAGGCGCTCAGATCAGCACACACCAGAGCAGGGGTCTCCAACCTTTTCCAATCAGAGAGCTACTTTAATACAACAGAAGAGGCAGAGAGCAATTTCTTTTTGCAGTCATAATAGAAATGTATGTAAAAATAACGACAAGAGAGGACACACATGGAGAACACACGTAAAACATACTGTTATTACTGTATAACCCTATTTTTGTTACTTATAATGGATATAGACACTTCCGCAGTGGAAGTGTGTAGACGTGTTCCTTGGTGCTCCGCTGCTTGCTTCGCTTTGTAATCTCTTTTAATCGCTGTATTTACATTTTTATTCTACAAAACACGGATTACTCCTTCTGCAGACTTCAGCTTTGTGAAATTTGTCAACATTAATCATGTCCGGACGGAAGAAACAAAGACAAATCTGCGATGGCTGCTGCTCTCTGGAAAATGAGCTCAAATTTCTTCAAAAACGGATGGATATTTTGGAAACAGAAATGGGACTTAACCCGACTCTTCCAATGTGTGAAAATGGAATGAATGGACAGACTGGAAATGTAAGTTATGATGACGTAATTACTTTTCCCAAAATCAACAAAGAGAACTATTGGAATAAATGCGGCGCTAAACCCAAAGTTGACAAAGCTAAGAATGACAATGGGAGTGGAATTCTGCCACGAAATGTTTGCAAAACTTCAAATCGTTATGCTGCTCTGTTTGAAGAAGCAAAGCCACAGTCTGTTTCTCCCCCTCCGTCAAGGCCACGGTGTTTGCTGCTTGGAGATTCAGCCATTCGGAATGTATCTTTGAACTTTGTACAGACTTATTCTTTGCACTCAGCCAGAGTGTCTGAGATAAGAGCTTTGTTGCCAAAAGTTTTATCTCAAACCAAGGATGTAAGTACATTGTTGATACACACAGGGGCAGTAGACATTTATGACAAATCCACCGAGAAGTTGAGAAGAGATTTTACTCTGCTGCTGGATGACCTTAAAAAAATTGAGTTAAACGTGCTAATCAGTGGCCCCATTCCAAATGCAGATGGAAAAATCGAGAAGTTTAGCCGTCTGTACCAGTTAAATTCATTTCTACACAATGAGTGTTCACGCAGAGGACTTGGATTCATTGAAAACTTCAATCCGTTCTGGAATAGGCTCGAGCTCTTTGAAGGGAAAGGCCCACATCTGAACAAATACGGAGTAAAAGTGTTGATGGATAACTTTGCATCTGCCTTAAGACCTCAGCCTGCGCAGCGCGTTCAGCCGTTGAAAGAGAGGAGGATACAAAGGGCGAGACCCTCTCCACGGAACCCAGAGGTCTCGGCACCTCCACCGCCTCAAAAGAACTCAACACGTCCACCAGCATCATCATCAGCAAAGGATCCAGCACCAGCAGCAGCAGTGGCTGCCACAGCGTCATCAGCGCCTTCAGCATCAGCACCACCAGCACCAGCTGTGGCTGCTGCATCATCTTCAGCAGCACCTTCCCCACCTACAGCTCCCGTGAAGCCCCCCCCCCCCCCCCCATTGCTACAGGCTACAGTCAGGCCTGCACTGGGGGCCTCTCAACCACCTCCGTCTCCACCAAAGATTCCCTCATCACCTTCCATGGACCCGGTTTGGGTCCCCCCCGCTACATCCACTCCATCTAAGGAACATGAGGACGACCTTTCCCTGTGTTTTCCATCACTATTGGATTTACCGGAACACTCTGCAGGCATGATAAGATCGGCGATGAAGAATATTCCTCTCACACCCACTGTAGCCAGATCAAGGGTCCTATCTAACATTCATAACTTCTCCCCATACGTACCTCCAAAGCCACCTAGGGCGTCCAACTCAAATTCTCCCACAAAATCCACCCGTCCCTCAAATTCTAACTCGAATTCACCCGCAAAATCCACAGGTCCCTCCCCTAACCCCAAAACCATTCCAGCCCCACCCCCACCCCCCCCTCGTTTCCCATCACCAAGAACCCCTCCACCTCCACTCCCCCCTCGTCCATCTCCCAACTCCTGCCCCTCCCCTAACACCCATCCACCTCCAACCCCCCCTCGTCCAACACCCAAGAACCACCCACCTCTCCATCCT